GGCCATGCTGAGTGGAGTAAAATTTGACGTTTCAGATAAAGGGATGGCAAATTGTTCCCAATTTACTGACCTCATAAATTTTCACTATCAGTGCATCTTTTGGCAATATTTCTGTACCATTAACACACAGGGCTGTAACGGGGTGAAGCACCCCGAACCGAAACCGGTCAAAATTTTGGCTAGATCTGCGCCTGCGCGCTGTATCGAGAGTTAAACAATTAAAACGTTCGAATAGAACCACACGTAGTGTCCGTATTTCCGTAATAGCGAGAGTCCATTCTATCGGGAGCTTAATTCAGTCATTTCATTGTATTTTCAATAGGGGATTTTGTTTGTGTCCGTGATAGAGGGTTGTCCGTAAGGCGAGAGTTGGCTGTGTTATAGATCGTTCACTTCTATATCACATTATACCATTTTTGCTGAAAGGAAAATATGTGTTCATAGAATGTTTTAGAACTGTAAATGTAAATGAAGTTTTAGAACTATCTTTATGACTCGAAGATATGATGATCTTGCAGCAAACGTTTATTCATTGAGCACCTTTTCTGCATATACATACATATTAAAGACATCACATTATATTTGCTTTTGATCTTTATCTTTGATTGTGCGACAACGTAGCATACGGAGTTGGTTTCAGGGTACCAAAAGCCATGCTTATCGAACAGTGTCTTAATCTTTCCTCTCGATGTTCACACACCTATTCATGGCAGGACCTTGAACCTTTGCTTACTTTGATCTTTAGTTTGCAACCCTTCCACTGAGCAATTCTCACACCTGTGAGTGAGTTTGGGTCTTGAAACTTCAGTCAAATAACTCGATACTCCTATACTCACATTTTGGTACACGATTATTTGTGTGTACATATATCAATGTATCGATGACACATTTCAATGTATATCTCTACACACTGGCAGAATAACCATAATATCTGTATGCACAAAATACCTATACCCACATTTTGGTACACGGGTATTTCACCATACATATTTCGATGTATCGATGTTACCTTGTCAATGCATATATAAACACACTGACTGAATACTCGCAATACCTATTTGCACACAGCTCTTGTACTTAGATATGAGTACACAATTTTTTGTGTCAACATATATTAATCTCACTATTACATTCTATATTCATACCCATTGTCCTTTCCATTTGCACCGTGAGCTCGTAGTATATTATTTTTGTTGAAGACATTATAGATGAAGACCTCTATGACAAGGCTACATGGATAAACCGTATACACATAAATGTGGATATCCCGTTCTTTTCTATACAGCGCTACAATGTAATGATACACCTTTGCTTGCATCATTCCTGGACGCAGGGGTGAGGGGGCAGCCAAGTGTAAAGGAGCATACTGATCATAAGCCCTGGAATGCGCTACCTGGTGGACTATCAAGGACTCACAATTATAAAACGCAACGTATATACATGTTTGTATGTAAAACACATCAAAATGGATCCCAAATCTTTGTATTGCTATGCACGTTTAACACAACTAACTGGAATCCAGATCTCCTAACGACAAAAGATTATGAGAGAAAGCCCAGTGTGATCTGGTTGAGGTTGGTATTACAGTGCTCTTTCTTAGTTTTTGACAAGCTGTGCTTGTCCTTTTTGTATGATATCAAGCAAACTCAGAAATACATAAAGCAGCTTGATATCGTATTTCCAGGATTCTTACTTTTCTTTTGCAATGTTTTCAAAAAAAAATTCATTCCGTGTTACTCACATTTGCCCCCAATAATCGTGGCGTTCATATGCCAAGTTATATTGAAATGAGCTCATACAATCTTCTTCAGAAAAATTTAGATTTTCAAAGGAAATTTTGGGCCCTGTTTACACGGGATCGGATCCAAACGGCACCAACTTCAAAAGCGATCCCAAACGGGTACGGATAGCAAATCCAAATGAGATCGGATCAGCCAGGTCCCGTGTAAACGCAAGGCCTATCCGCACCACTTTGGGTACGGATCCGCTTGGATCCGATCCCGTGTAAACAGGCCCTTAACCTAAAGGTCTTCATGCTTAAGGATTCAGCAATTATTTGATGACTGATAAAACAATTTTCTTCCCTATTCCCATTCATTTTTCACATCCAACATATATTAAATTTCAAAAGGAACGACAGTAATCCAAATATTGTTATATTTTCAGTTATTACGTAGCAGTGGGTGGATGTGCATCTGTTGTTTTCTGTTTGATGTGAGAACGAGCAGCTGAATTTGCAGTAGTGTGCTTTCAACCATCATTCACGAACACGACAGTTCAGACCGTAATTAAAATGTTTTGAAGAGATCTTGATAGAAGTTCAGCAAGTATGTCCTAGATAGAAAAGCCTCCTTCCACAGCCCCCTTCCGCATTTTTACTTTCTTACACGTGTTCTCTTTCCGTCCACGTGTAAACGGCGTTTTACACAACATAGCCAGCCATAAATGCACATTTTTGAAAACATGGTTTATACGTTTCCTGATTCAGGTCGTGAAAGGATACTTTGTAAACGGTTACATTAGAATCCCTTACTTATGTGAAATGACTAGCAACCCATGTGAACTAAAATGTCACAACGTTCAGGACAGTCATTTGTTATGTTCTGCCTTGCTTGATTGCTGCTTTACTTTCATACATACAAACCATCTTTTTCTCAATTTAACTGCCTCCATGTACAAAAAAGGTAATAAAACATGTAGAAATAGAGCCAGATAGAAACTTGTACGAGATCATGTTTCTTCCTCTATGTATTTGCAGTCGTTTTAGCGTTTATGTTTTAACTTTACGTTTAGACCAAAACGCTAAAAGCGTTCAAGCGACTCGTGAACGGGAAAACCTTCTGTTCATTCACAGACGTAAATGTTCGTAAACGTAAACACGTGGACGAGCCCTGAGCAGATCTTTGGTTATATTCTCAAATGTCGACAGTCAAAGTATCCCACACCCAACGATTCCCTCAAAATACTGCCTGTCTTCAACAGCAAAATATTAGACCCTCTTTTTCCTATAACAAAGTTCTTCCACGGGAGACTCAGAAATAGACGAGAAAAGCATTCAAACTTTCAATTTACTTGACTTGCAAATTTTTCATGATTTCATCATAAAGCAACAGATTTTCAAATTGGTACAAGAAAGCAAACTAACCGAAAGTATAGAGACACTACCCTAATTTGGACACCGTTAGAAAACTATGGTACATAATATTAGCTATCAGAAACCGAACAGCTGGCTTTCAAAAGAAGCAGTCTGATAGATTGCAATAAGTACTAAATAAGCAGAATATGTTCGACAGCGTCCAATTCAAGTAGCATGTACTAGTGACATGACAATATGTCAATTGTGGCTAGATATTCTGCTGTTGTAAGCGTATCTGATTCAGGTTTTCATGTGTTGAGGCTTTAACATGTTGATAAAGATTTTGCTCAGAAATTTGAGTAAAAGAAATTGCAAGATCTGTGTCATGTTACTTGACCTTCAAATTTGACACAGAGAAGACCTTCAACTGCCTTAAGTTGCAATGTTCACTCTTGAGTTGAACTGATAGGCGAGTCACATACATTCTTTATAAGAATCAAATGTCGAAGTAGACAACTCCAGTTTCTCAACCCTTGGCCAAATTTCAAAACTTTTTGTTTCGTAAGAGCTTTTTAGTTATGATGTCATTAATTTCAACACTCATGGGCCTCCATTTAATTTTTCATGATTAAAAAACTTCAGTTGGGGAGTGTTTTTGAGACTACAAACAGAGAGCTTCCTCAATGTTTCTATTGTTTTCCAATGCTCCTAACACCCCTTTCAGGTGACTTGCTTCCATTCTAATGCGGCATTTATATGAGGGTAGTGTATTTTTTCCTTGTCTTTAAACTTATGTGCTAACCAGCCAATAGTATGATTATATTTTGATAAAATTTCGATGTCCTAGGTTTTTGTTCAAAAGTCTATTATTTCTTAACTTTTTTCGGGTCTTTAAGTTTCCAATTTTTTCTTATTGTCCAGTTCTCGTTAAATGTTGAAAATTTAATATTGCATAACTATTATGTGTACTCAAATATTAATATCACAGATTCAACCACATTATATGCCTAAGTCATCATCATAAGGCTAGAGCACCGGATCGCCTTGAAGAAAAGAGGATTGACAGTGGAACCAAAAGAGCATGCGATAAAATATGACAGTTTGAATGTTCGAAACTACGATGGTTTGTGGACAATATTAAAATGAAATTGATATATACAATAGGAAGGTGAGCCTTACAAAAAGAACCAAAAACAGAACCTTGTGATACAGCACGCGATTTTTTGAAAAAGATTACCTTTAACGTGATTCACTGGCGAGATTACGGCTAGTAGGGGCCACAAGACTGCCAAACATCCTAGCATAACAGGATTGCCTGTTTTGTGAAATGTTTTGTTGGTGGCCTAAATTTTCACGATTTAATGCATAAGTCGGCCAGGTAAACAAAATATTCCAAAACAGCTCAATTTTGGCTATTCGTGTTGAGTGCTAGTTAGTTTTTCCAGCTGCAACCGGAATTTGACGCATTTTTTAGTTATTCACCTTGCTATCATGAAACGCAGATTGGAACGTAAGAGACGTTTTTTCTTTCGTTTCTTTTTATCTTTTTTGATAAATAGTGATGCAGGATGTAACGCCCAAGATTTTTGCTTTTCAATTTTTCTTTCAATGTGAATTCTGGTTTCTTAGTCAATTTCTCAACAAAAATGAGCATGTAAATACTTTATTTCTCTGCCTAATTGCTTTCAGGGTACAATGTTGCGGAAGCATAATTCGGAAAGCGGACGCATTCGGAAGGTGTATGCAAATGCAAAATTTGAATAAGCTAGAAATAGGCCTAGCCCATTTTTGTATGCCCATTCGTCATTTCGAGAACTGCACCCAAACATTCTCTCCATCCCACTCAATGTTTACAAAGACAAGTACTGCATAGAAAACATGCACATAGATTCGAGATATTTGACTGCGGCAAAAAGATGTTTAAAATCTCACATGGCCTAAGAAATCATATCAAAGTTTAAGGAATTCAATAGCTTTTCTTTCTCTTGGATGCCTCGGGGGATCCTGTGGAATAGCTTCCAAATGCTGCGCCTAGGCCACCTTTTGAGCTTGCAAACAAGTGTGGGAAAATTCGATTGAGTGTTTAGACATAATTATTTAAAACCACTCTGCTGTTTTGCATTCTAAGTGGGTATTAGCAACTACTGGCATTGTTTGCATACCTTCAAGTGTTTGCAATGCACAGTCAGATGAAAGTTTGATTTAAACGCACGTCTTAGATTGCCCTCTTCTTTAAGTGTGGGATTACACCAACCTGCGGCTAGTTTCAGGTTTTGGATGTTAGCACGATCGAATGCAACATGGATGACTGGTTTGTGAAAAGAATATGTTTTATAGCTGCTTTGGCCACAAATTTGAGCCAAGTGCTTGGAAATCCACTACCAAGTAAGTTTGTAGGAACTGATGCCGAAATGCTGTTGTTCACGTTGCAGCCATACAAATCATGTGACTGGATTCTATTCTGCTTTGATATTTGTTTAGGTTGTGAAGTAAACTAATGCTCGTCTTTTTATTATCGCAGTGTCATCTGAAGAAGGCCAGTCTGCATTTGCAATGATTGAAAAAGTTAACAAACGTGAGTTTTTTCCTGGTTTTCTTGGGTTTTTCTAGCCTAGCATTTCCTATTTCCTGATTACTGCCTTTTGAACCGATACCTCTCACTTCCTCAACGATTTCAGCAGAAAATCTTTTCAGCACAGTGTGATGAATAATTATGAATCTGGAAATGATGATAAGAGTTGTAAAAAAACAAGCACAAGAGCAAAAACGAAACATTACGTTGGCGGACATGAGGAATCCGGATAGGAATCTTGTTTTGCTGGATGTTAAAATTGTAGGAGAGCGTTCCCTGACCCTAGGCGACCTGTGATTCGTAAATACTGTCAAAAAACTCTTCGACAAGTGTGACACACAAGTATGCCACGAACTCTTCGACAAGTATGACAAACAAGTATGACACGAGATTATTAGGATTTTTCTTTCCGGATGGTTCAATGTCGCCGGAAAAACTACACAAATTCTCTTTTTCAGATGTGAAGCATGATTTGTTTGAGAGTGATATTTCGTTCTCTCCAACTGTGCAAGAAGCCCTTGGAAGATCAAAAGAAGACCAGCCTCCTGTTGGTGTGGCAATGGATGCAGTCAGAAACAGGGAGTACTTGTGGATAACTAGGACTGTTCCTTATCAATTGACGAATGATTTTTGTGAGCTCAAAATTTCATTTTTGACTATCTAAACGTAAAATTAACAGTAAAACTTCTTGAATTTCTGTCAAACACCCATTACTTCGCAACTTTCAGTCAACAACAACAATACTTCAATGTCATCTACAGTTTGTGTTTTTTATCTTTCTGTTGTAATCACACTTAAAAACAAGCAATTCAATACTTTTTGTTAAAGCTTCAAGGATAAAAACAGTTAAGAATCTTTAAAAAGACTCGAATATTTTTGCAGCGAAAGCCGAAAAAGACATCATCATTAAGACAATGAAAATCATTGAGGAGAAGTCTTGCATCAGATTTAAGAGACGTACCAAAGAAACAAATTGGGTTCAGATTATTAAAGATGGCGGCGGGTTCGTTGAACGTTTATTTTTTCTTCTTGATAATACAGTATTTATAGCCGCTAAGTCACTAGCTAGTTTATGAAGTCGTCACAGCCTACAATTTGCTTGTTAATAGTTGTGTTTATTCTTGGATCTTGGGCTTCCTTCAGTAGCCTGTACCAGAACTTCACCGGACATTTTTCAAGGAAATGTTCAGTACTTTGATTGGCCTATATAAAGTATATTCAGACTGCCAAACGTTGTATTTTGTTTCATTCTGCTAACATAAGTTTGGTTTCCAGATGTTTTTCTTCTGTTGGAAAAGAATATTGGAAAATTGGTAAACAGATATTGAGTCTGTCTGATGGATGTCTATCGAAAAGCATAATACTGCACGAGCTTCTACATCTTCTTGGCTTTTGGCATGAGCAGAGTCGTCCGGACAGAGACAAATACGTTGAAATATTTTGGGAAAACATGGAAGAGGGTAAGGCTCCTGTTTTGCATTTAGAGAGTTATTCTCTTTTTATTATTATCTCATTAGCTTTGAACACGCTGTGTAACTATCATTTGGTGTTTTTAAGAATAATTATGAGTACTTTTTATACTTTTTGGTCTAGCCTGATGGTTTGTGACGCAGGCTATTTTAGTCTTGATCGAGTTTTAAAATTAATTTAAAATTCAGGCAGGATTCTGTTGTTAACACGTATGTTTAATTGAGATAGGGATATTCCACTTCAATGAATATGAAATTGTAAAATATGTTTACTTTTGATAAATTCGTACTTGCTTGCAGATATGTAATTAATTATTTACCTACAAAATTATCTAAGAGAAAAAGAGACTCGACCTAAGAATACAGGTCTAAACAATTCTCACGAAAACGCAATAATCTTTCCTTAACATGCGGATCAAATTTGCAAAGGGAATGCGTATGCGACAAGAAGCCGACTCCTAATTTAAAATCTTCTTGTTAGTTCAGTAACTATAACTTTTATTCTATTTGTGGTTATTGAAATTAAAGTTTTCAATACAAACTTTTTTAGCTTGTTGAGGGCTTTAATTTTCATCATTTTGAACATCAAGCAAACTAAAAAAGCCAGTATGTAGCTGAGCTTATATCATAAATGTGGATTGCATTCTGACAGTACCTGAAACCTTACTATTTGCGTATGATGATTAAAAATTAAGATTTAGAATTTCATTTGCAACCTTTATCACAGATAAAATTTGCTCAAAATTTTTATGTTAATCAAAAAACAATTGTGATCTGATCAAAATTTTCTCATGATATAGTCAGGCCATTAGAATTTAAAAAAGCTGCTTGCATATGGTAAAGACGTAAAATTGTTATATCGGGAAGGTGTAGCAATTCAGATTACCAGAGCCACAAAATTTCAAGTGCGGAAATGAAAATCCAAGCGTAGAAGCGGACCTCTCAGAAAAAAGCTCCTCCGCTGCTTCGCTTCAGCTTGGTACAATTTTAGCGCATAATTGCAATTGGTACAATTTTGGGAGGATGAGGGGCCTCGGAAATTCTATGCCCCTCATCCTCCCAAAAATATCCAGCGATTTACATCGCTGTATAGTATACTTTTCTTTTACTCGTATGACGTTTATTACAAACTTAAGATAACTAGTTGCAATGATTTGAGCAATCATTTCATTACTTCATATGAGAAGTAGCCCCCGTGAAAAGACTGGAAAGTAGCTCAAACTTTAGAAAAGAAACTGAGGCTTTATATGAAAACGGCTAGATGGAACGTAAAAATAGATGTAGGACATTCTGATTAAAGGGTGATAAGAGCTTAGATTATAATCAGAGCTTTCACTTCAGGTTGGTTGAAGTTCTTATCCTTTGTCTTCATCTTACTTTGTCATTCATTTCTGTAGATGCAGAAAAAAATTTCAAAAAATATTCGCATGAAGAGGCAGATTTGCTTGGCCTTCCTTACGACTACCAAAGCGTAATGCACTATGAAAAAACATCAGGAAGTAAAAATGGAAAACCAACAATCTTGGCTATTGGAAATAAAAGTCAGGAACTAGGAAAATCAAAGACATTGACAGCAATTGACATTATCCAGATCAATCGACTGTACGACTGTTCAGGTAATTCTACCCACTATAAAAAAGCTGTTGAAATGAAAACATTTGCTGCCTGTCCTCGAAGCTTCTCTTTTTGTACAGCAGCTTCTTGGCTATCCTTAATGACACAGAAATATTTAAAATGTTTTAAAACAATTGATCTGTAATTGCATAAATTACAGCCAAACGTAATCTTTAAAAGGCGATGAAATGCCATGAAAATATTTGTCAGGAATATATAGGGGAAGATATGGTATTTTAGAAAAGATTAACAGAATAGTATGATGAATGCTTTTATAATATTTTTCTTTGCGTTTAGTCATGTTTCACTTTCCTATTTCAAGCTCCAGGTGCTGTAAGAGACAGCTATGTGAGTAACTGGTCCAACTATGGGCCATGTGACAACAATTGCAAAAAGACTCGCCAACGGTTCTGCTCACATCCTGACCTCACCAAATGCCCAAAAGTGAACGCAAACGGCATCGAGGAGCAAGCCACTGCATGTTCTGTTTCAGAATGCAACGGTAAGAAGCTGTAGCCAACGCGAACGTAACATTTGCTGTTTTGAATTCAGTTATATTTACTATATATGAAATGCATAATCATAAATCAGGACCTCAAAACGATAAGGATGATAAATAATTTGACTGAAAGGTGTTATGTTATTCTAGGCATCGGCTGGTAAAGTAATGGATTAAAATATGCATTACTGTTATGTTCTGTGGTACTGCGGTGGAGCAGACCACAAGGGACAGACGCTATCAACTTTTGATATGTATTATTTTAACTTTGTTCTGTTGTGTTAAAATCTCTTTCTTGTCTTTACCTTAGAATACAATGAAAACCTTATTGGGTTGTGTTTCTTTAACCTCTTTATCAACTTTAATATATTTTATTAACAAAAAAAATGTTTCATGTTATACAGCTCCGGTAGATGGTCACTGGAGCCGCTGGTCGTCATGGAATGACTGCGCGCCGGACTGCGGACCAAGAAAGCGAACCAGAACAAGATACTGCACCATGCCGAAGAATGGTGGGAAGCAATGTGTTGGCGCGGCAGTCCAGAGCTTTCAATGCAGAACAAAAATTTGTAAGTTTGACTTCATAGATAGCCTGTTTTTTATCTCAGCCACGTTCATAGATGCAGGATTTTCAATTGGGTAGGAAGCACCAAACAGATCCGTTATTATTGTTCAACTACAGCGTTCTTAGTTGACCCTCATTTTAATCTGTTTATATGTTCTAGTTTTCATTTCTTTTGTTCTCTTTGCCAACTTCTGATTCTTATCCATGCTTTTGCAATTTTATACGAATCTTATAGCCTTCCGAAGATCGAATCAACGGGCACATAGTTATAACAAATTGGGAAATGACAATTGGCTAAAGTATTGAAAATTGCTTAACTCCCAGTTTTATGAAACTGTTGTTACACGGGTTGCAGTGGAAGACAGTTAAAATGACTGTGACGGTGGAACTTGATCCGAAAATTTGGTAACAATTATTCAGTCAAAACTAGGCATAGAACTGACACATGTATGCAAAAAAACTCAGAAATTGTAAAGCCAAATACCTATCTATAAAAAAGCTTTATTCATTTAGAAGCTAGAATGTGAAAATAAAATTTGCGTCAATAGAGAATACGATAAAGACTTTAGTGAAAGGAATTCGAATGTTGTTAAAATATAACGTATTAACTTGCAGGCGGCGTGCAATGTAGTTTTGACACTAACTGGTGCGGTTGGAGAAATGGCCATCACAATTTACAACGCTTTAAATGGTGGACAGGGATGATAGATACCCCCAGCAAAAACACTGGGCCTAGCAGAGACCACACCACTGGAAAAGGTAACATTATGTGCTATTGTAGATTAAGATCTTTAGGGTTTACACCTTTAGGGTATGTAGATCTCATAAATTGTAAGTCAGTATATGTGACTGTCGCAAGAAGTACATTTTCAACAAAGCGCTCTTTTTGTGAAATTGCGACAATTTGCAAATGTTTGTGTTATTTCTGTTTTGGCCTTCCTGCTGGTCTGTCATTGCTTACACGAGTCGAATACTCAAACTCAATTTGTAACATTTATATTTGATGCTTCCAGGTAAATACCTGTATGTTGAAGCTTCTAAACCATCACAAGAAGGAGATAAAGCAAAGCTTGTGAGCAGAACGAGAAACGCAACAGGCTTACACTGTCTATCGTTCTGGTACCATATGTTTGGAGCACACATGGGTAGTCTGAGGGTCTTTCTTAAGTTTAGCAATGGCACCGAGGAGAAAGTATGGGAAGAGTCTGGAGACAAAGGAAACAAATGGATGCATGCCAATTCTACAGTAGATGCCTATTCACCATACAAGGTAAGATCATTAAAGACATTCTCTGGTATGGATCGTTGAATCAATTTCAAAATAGGCCTCTATTTATCATCTTGAACCTAAAAATGCCTTCAACCAAGTACATCATATTCTGATCAATTCCGTTCTATCTTTCTGTCACATATCAGAAAACATCTGATATAGAGTTTCTATATAGTCTTCATCTGTTGCCGAAGACAAAGTTTTAGCCCCGCTATTCCCGTTAAAGGTTAAAAGTCTTTGAAGGCTGGGGGTATTTTCTCAATAAAAATCTATTCATTAAAACAGCAGGAGAATTCAGTTCATTCTGTTTTTCTTCCCAAAGTCAACCTGATGGCATGATTACACCAGGGCACTAGCTTCACTTTGGAGATGATACCACGTTCGTTAAGAGTTGTGAGAATAATAATCAACCACTCTTGAATTGCTTATTCCCAATATGGTGACGAAGATATCGATGAAGATGTGTGATTTTGAAGAGCAAATAACGATTTGGCCGACCAACTAAAGTTTCTACAGACCAGCGCGTGAAAAACAAAGCTGTGTCCCACACCTTGTCTTTTTTTAAATATCTTGACGATGGTCCTAGTACTGAATTAGTTGGATAAAAAACTAGCATTTTTGTAGGTTATTTTTGAAGCAGAAAGAGGAAATGGCTTTGGTGGAGATATTGCTATAGATGACACAAATATCAAAGTTGGAAAATGTGGAATAAGTATGTCTATTTTGCAAACAATTGCATTATTTTCATTGTAATTTATTTAGAACTTCGCATCTATTTTTTTCCAATAAATATTTTTTGCAAGACTAATTCTATGTAACTAGTTTCATATTTTTCAGTAGCTGAACCATTTAGAAATGCATGGAAGTGAATTGACTGCGTGAGGTTTAGTATGTAGATAGGTAGCAAAAAATGCTTTTTGTAGAAAGCCAGATGTATTTTGCTTGAAACAGTATACCTGACTTGTAGAAGATTATTGTGTTTTAGCTAAAATGCAGTAATGAAATATTACAAAGAATTGCTCTTTCCTTTCAATGACAATCAGCTGAGATATCTCTACAGGTGATTGCAGCAAAATCAGAATGCAACTGCCATACGATTATAAATAATGTTATTGTTGCGGTTTTAGAAAATCTGGAGAGGCTAATCGGAATCCCGATAAAAGCCCTTGGCTGCTATGGCGATTCAATGAGCAACAGAGCCATGTCTAACCTTATCGGCTATAACCGGCATCTCATCCAGTGGCAGAGATTCAACACCTCTCTTGTCAAGTAAGTGTCAGTAAGAAGCTTTGAAAAAGTAGGTTCGATCCAGTTGTGTAAGAACCAGGAACGTGTCCCCCATTTTTTTGACAAACAAAACGCTTTTTATGGACAAGAAGTACCCCTTTCCAGATCTATGTCTCTCTCTAAATAGGAAACCTGATGCATGCACTAAGCTCATAATTGATAATTGCTTCCTTTTTATTTCATTAATTTTTCGAATATACAAAATCAATTCATTTAAAAACAGGTATGACAACTTTTTAAATTGTAGATACAATTCTTATGAGGACTTTCGTTTTTTTTAGAGTTTTGTTCAAGTCAATTGCTCGAATGAATGCGTAATTGTCGGTATCAAACGAATGCATCCTCCTTGAAAAACATTACTCAGACCCCGTTTACACTGTCCCGTGCAAGTTTGGAACCGTGACAAAACTGTCGCGGTTCGCCCTTGCGTTTACACTAGCACTGTGGAACCGTGACGATTTTGCTCTGCTATCCGGAACAGTTTTGACCCTGCTTTGAAAGCGAACGAATTTTGTACCGTCACGGTTCCGTTTTTGAACGGGACAGTGTAAACACCTATCCGAGACGATTTTGTCACGGATTCACAAAGAGGTCTTTTGTATGGCTGTTTCAGGTAATCGAGGCTTTGATTGTGGCGTAACTACGTTCTCAAATTCTGAAGAAAAGGAAATTCTGAAGAAAAGACGACCACAGAAAAGGCTTGTAGTGTTTCCCAGTCCAAGCCTTGATTGGACTTTGCAGTTTTGTAGTCTAAAATAACACTGAAAATTAAAGCCACCTTGTCTTTCGTCCAAGTAAAGTTTTAATCGGCCTTCCGCTCCAATTTAACTCACAATAAAAATTCGATTGTTGACTTCAGCGGCAAAATAAAAGCCTTGGTTGACTAAATACAGCTTCTTCTAAACAATGTTCTACCATTAAATTAAGGTCGTACCGGTACAGTGTGAACGGAACGGCTAAACGGAACAATTTGGAACCGCGACAGTGTAAACACTTGCAAACCGTAACGGTACAAAATTGTCCCGGGACAGTGTAAACGGGGTCTCAATTTTAGCTGTGGTTAAATTTTGTGATAACGCTATTTCTTCTTACGTAATACGTTCCTACGCCTCTGGAAAAGCTCTGTACTTCCACAGCCCAGTGAAAAATCTTGGTCTTCGCTTTTTATTTCCGTTCAAAAATAATTTTCGGAATAATTAGGCAGGATAATTTTAATACTATTTTTCAATTAATGCGATATTTTTAGTGCTCTAGTAAGAAAAAAGATATCGGTTTAGTATGAATTGCTAAACTATGAAAGAAGATACAGTAATTATTGGAAAGATAACTTACCATTTATATCAAAGTAGGTGATTGAATAATACGATCCTGAACATTAACGGTTAATATTTACAGCATTGTCGTTTTTATAATAACATTTTATCTAAAACTTTTCTTATGCCTAGGATTCTTCGTCTGTGTGCTGAAAAGGCCAAAAGCAAAGGCCATAAATTCTTTGGACTGCAATTCTACGGCGAATGCTGGAGTAGCTCGCACGAAACTGCGCCATTTAGGTACGGGCCTTCGACCGCTTGTGTGGATGGAAAGTTCAAAGAGTGCGCAATGTCTAAAGATGTGCCGTGTACCGGCAAAGCAAACGCTAATTTCATTTACAAATTCATTGATAATAACGACTTTGAACTTTCAGTTTGATTCTTTGTAATATTATTTATTGAAGCATTTCTTCTGTAGATATTATTCGCTTTCACAATTTACGCAAAATGATACATGCTTGCTGATAGATAGATTTATTTTTTTTCTTTATGATCCAAGAGAAACTTTGAAATAATATGTTTGCTTTTCTTCACAATTTCGTCTTACTTTAGTAGATCTTACTCTATGGTCCGTTCAGAAACAAATCTTTACACTAACAAATTGAGTTTCAAGATTATAAGACAATTTCATTGTCCTTCATTGCTTCAAAAGAATTAATGTTTGTCTAATCACTTCTACCAGCCAAAAGCAATTTGATGCCGATTTTAACCTTGGAGAAATTTTCTCAACACAAATTTTCTCAACGTCCTCTGTAATCTATATGTTTGTAAGCAAATGTTTCAAGGATGAAAATGGACTCAAGGGAAATCAGGGGCTCAAGCCCCCTATTTTATGAATAACACAATGCTTGCCAAAAGTCTTGGTACACAAACATCAAGGGCAAATTCAGCCATTTCTCCCCCCTCCCCCCTTGGAACAATGCTGATTTACTACAAAACGACGTAAGGGATTAGGAAGTACGCTCTTTTCTGCTTCTTCTATGGTAAATTGTCAACACTCTTGGGGGGGGGGGAGGGGTGCGGACATATGAGTATTCGGACAAAGAATATGAAAGCACAACGTAAATTGCAGGTTGTTCCAAGTACTTTTAGCAATGATTGTCTGAACAATAATTTATTGTAGTGGAGGGATGTCATTTAAAGTAAGGCGTTCATTGCATGTTGAAGCTAATTACAGCAATTTAGTCCTTGAATCTTCCAAATACGTTCATTATTGAAGAATTCTTTGACACCTTTGCAATGGTGCACACTGGAGAATAAGATCCTATCTAGTTTGATATTTGGTAAAACCTTTTTCTGTTGATCGTTTATTGATCAAATATGAGAGGCAACAAGGTTTGAGCCATTCTGTGAAGTAGCATTGGAAAATCTATAGAACACGTTTTTAAGAAAAAGAACCTTGAAAGACTTGCTGGCCAATATTCAAAATTATGTTTGAATGTACTCGATTCCCAATTGATTCTTTTTTTACCATGTAAGGTAGAAAAACTGGCATTTTTCATTATTTTTTGTCATTAAAAGGGTATTGAAAAATTATGCAATCGAGGCTGCTGTTGACACAGGCCTATGCATGAGAGAAGGTTTTGTGAGATACGAATCTATTCTTCGAGATGGAGCGAATTGAGTATGATATGGATACTTCAGGTGGAATAATGGAGGTAAATAACGTAATTTAGACGTTTATTTTTAGGTTTTTAGAACAATATTCTTTAGTAAATGATTATTTACTACCATATCAGTGGAGTTTCTTTTGCTGTTTGAGGCCCCTCCGAACAACACTTCAGAAAGCAATTCCTTTTACCCTATATGCGCCAAATAGAACCCTCCTAAGTGACATACATAATCAGGAACAGCACATGGAAAATACTCCATTTTTTGCTTGAGATACTCGCTATTAGAAAAATTGAATAACTTCAGTTAGGTAGAATCTACACTCATTTTTTTTATAAGAAACAAAGGTCGATGTTGAGTACTCCAGTTTCTTAATGTTCTGGAAATCTCAATACTCATTGTTTCTTAAGAGTTTCTAAATCATGATCTCATGAATGATGTTATGAAATGTTCGTGACCTTTTTTATCACGTCAAGAAATTCGCTTCCGTTCCGATGCTGTATTTAGATGTGGGAAGTATATTTTTATCCCTTGTGTCTTAAGTTCTAGGCCAACAAGGCAATCTTCTTCTTGGATTTTACAAAATTTCGTTGTTCTCAGTTTTATGACGATTAATCAGTTTCTTAATTTTTTGCTTCGAGTACTGAAGTTTCTTAATTTTTTCTGACTGTCCAGTACTCGTTTCTTATTAGCCAGTTTCTTATAAAAAAATGAGTGTAATTTGAAAAAATTGAGATCTTTGAGAAAAAGACGAGACCAGTGCAAAAATATACTTGTCTGATTGAAATACAGCATCAGGACAAGCAAATCACTTCACAGAGATTTGACATGCATTTGGAGGCAATTGGCAAGTATAATTGTTTGAAAAATTTCCTAGCATGTATAATTGAATTTGGGCTTATTGCCAATAGTATTGTTAAAATGGATATCATAATCAAAAACTCTCGAAACAAGAAACAGTGAATATTGAAATTTTCCAATGGAAAAATATGCTGGAGTAGGCAATGTTGAGCTTTGTTTCACAATAGATGTGTGTATGTTGTTGAAGTAATACAAGGTTTCGCAAGATACAGTCATGATCTTATCCACTCAATTTAAAGCCTTTATGTTTTTCAGTTTGTCAGTTGAAAGTGATGTCATATAATAACAAAGTAATGAAAACATAAATGGTTTGATGAATAAAAGAATGAAAATAACTGTTTACCAGTTTGTCATAAAGTGCTCTATGCTATATTGGACAAAAACTGTACACACTCTTTGTGTATAGAACATGACAGTTCCAAGTTGCATAGATTTATTTGTGTATGATATATTATAGATATATCACAGATAACTCCAATCTATTATTCTTTTTTACATTTCTTTTTTATTTCTTCATGGCAACCTCTGTCTGATACAAAAAATGTTTCTAATAGACATTGGAATTATATGAAATACCTGCCTGGAATTATATGAAATACCTGCCTGATATATATTCCATTAAACATAAGTATGGTTGCAAGTCAATATTCAAATAACTTGTGGCCAGAAAAGATCTTCTTTATAGTTTTACCAGATTTTCTTGAGGCTCTATTCAACCATAAGACCCATGTGAAGTTATGAGCATGAATCTAAATCAGGTTTTAATGAAACAAAGATTGAAAGTCCATAGTTTTTGAAAAATACTTTGATTAAACTAATAACACAAATAACACTTTAAGCCATCCCTGCCTCCTTCAGTTGAAAGTAGCTGTTGTGTGGATGGAAAAATCAAATTCCCTGTACATAATGTTTTCAGCCTTCTCTAAGCCATGGCACCTTTTCTGTAATTGCAAAATTATCATAAAAATATTCCAGCCAGAAATGCTATGAAACATTAGCTGATCATGAAAGAATAGTTTTCTGATTATTTATTTCTGCCGTGGGATCAATGACACACTCCCAAGATGTACTGTACCCCTAAGCAAAGCTTTAGATGGTAACACTCTCCAACCAAAATGCTGCATTCTCTCAGTAAAATACAGCCATCATGACACAGAAAGGTCATTCCTCTTAAAAAAGGAAGAAGCTACCTCCAGCCAAAAAAATAAACTGTGTAATGTAATGTAGTTGAGCAATAGTCAAGGTGCACTGATTGAGCAAACCCAACAGTTATGTACTCGCATATTTCTGATCGGCCTATTTTGAAATTTTTTTAATTAAATGTGACTTAATTTTAGCCCTGGCTTGTGATACTGCAGATTTATTGATACTAGAAAAAGGGAAAAGCATGCTACAGGAACAAAATATTCACAACCTTTCAAAATCCTAGAAAACAACATCATTTATCATTATCATTTTATCATTTATCATTATCATTAATTGCAACTTATGTATCCGAATCTGTTTCATCCATCTCAGTGGACTTTATTTTTGGCAAATTTCTTTGCAAACATCTTTATCTGAAGTTGATCTTCAATACAATTTTTTTATATGCTCAAATGTGCTAGTCTCTATGTGACTTAAAAGCAGAATTACTTTGCATCTTAAAAAATTCTTGCTTTGGTTAACAGACATCCCAATTGAGATTAGCCTGTATCATTGAGGCCTCCTCTCTTATGATTTGTCAGTTGAATTTGAAAATCATTGTAGCTAAAAATTTTGATTTTGGTTCTTGTAAAAATGGATGATTGAATCTTACCTTTTCGTTTTTCTCATAACTTTCACATACTGGGAGAGTCTAAATTTGTACAATTTATTCAAAACATAAAGATCATGCAAGCTTTATTATTGTAGAGGTTAATTCTGTGTTTCTCATAAAATGAATGTCATCGTATCAGAAAGTTGAAAGAAGGTGACAGAGGAAAGAGCAAATAATTTATTTTCAATAGAGCTTGGAATTATGGCATTGCATTTTATTAGTTCCACTTTAGAAATTTTGCTGGCTTATGCAGTCTTTTCTGTATTGGCTCTTGGACTAAGTATCTGCAGATTCGAACAAGGTTTACTGAACCAACAAAGAACATAACAATGTTATTAAATTAAGACATTTATCTAAGCTGCAAAATACGAGAAGAGGTTAATATGATGATTAATTTTATATCAATGGCTATTTTTGTAGGTGGCTTTGAAGTTACCTTTAAAATTAAAAGGAAATTTTTGAAAATTTTTAAGAGGGTTTTATTTTTCTTGATTAATGTCATAGAGAAAAGAATTATAGGCAGTTGCCCACCAAGTTGTTTTATTATGTTGAAAGAAGCTCCACTGTTTATTCTTCAATGTTGAATCAATTTTATAACACATACACCTTGCAAATGCCTACTCCTTTGGTGAAGATGTAAAATCATCACATCCAGGAAGCAACTACTTATGTGCATAATCACAATGAATCCTTTTTAGGTTCTGAGCTTTTTTAATCTACCCAATATCGTTACAATGTTACTAAGAAGGGGAAATATTGACATTTTCGATTGAATGTTGGTTTTTGTAGCAAATCCAGGCCATTATTGCTCCACCACATTCAGCAGAGGAGAGGCGAAGATACATAAAAGAAAAAGAGCAGAAGGAACAGTCTCACTCAAGGAAGTATGGCAATCGAAATGGTGGAAGGACAGTGAATAGAGATTGCTGTGATAGCTGTCGAGAGGGAGGTGACCTGCTTTGCTGTGACAGATGTCCTGCTTCCTTCCATTTCCAGTGCTGGTAATTCGTCTTGATTGTCATTTACGGCTTTCTTCCACAAGGGAAAAGGAATAAAAGGAGGAAGTTTAGGGATATATCTGTCTAATTTTTTATTGTAATTAGGATTGATGTTAAATGTCAAATGTTCATGATGTCAAACGCCGAGTTTTTGATTATTTAAAAGAACCATGACCTTGATCTTTTTATTAAATTTTGTTTCATTTCAATCGTAAACCATTTTGGCTGCCTAAATAAGTGCTATCACCTAAGATGCTCTTCAAACAATGTGCGTGTGCTGTGATTTTTCTTTGCCTAAAATGAGAACCTGTGGTGTTCTGGCAGCATATTGCGAAGCTGTGGATCTAGGATGAATATTTATGCATTGATCCTAATTTTTTATTCGCTGTTTGTGTTGCTGGAAGGAATGAAAGTTCTTACGATGACAAATTTATAAAAATGATTCCTTTGCTTTTCATCTGCTCTTTTTATCGTTTACACTTAAAGGCATTGAGTCATGATAAAATGGATTGGGTATACCCAACGTGCCAAAATCCGCTGAGTCGCGATTTTCATGACTGCGATGCTATTGGTTGACCTGAAACTTGTCACATGAACTCACCTCGTACTGATTAACAAAACAATTTCCATCAATAGCAAGTTGTCAACAACGGATGCCAATATCACGTGAAACAGCAACGTTCACGCCAAAACCAAATGACCCCTATTGGAGAAGGCCTATTTACCATGACTCGAAGCCTTTAAACACAAAAGAGTTTTGGTGGAGAAATAGTTCATAGCTAGCCATGCACACCATGAAACGTACTTGTACTAGGGTGTCTAGATTCTTCACTTGATTTTTAAAGGAGAAATATATTTTTAGTCAAAAAGAACTTAGCATTGAAGCTTATAATAACGGTAGAATTTGAATTACCGTTCAAGTTGTGCTATTTTGTTCGTGAAAATTTTGGTTTATTTAGTAATGTAAAAATTTGGTAAAATTTGTTCTTTAGTAACCCTCCATTAGAAGAAGATGACATTCCCACGGGCGAGTGGATATGCAACGAATGCAAAGCTGCCTTAAAGCAGGTAATGGAGTCAATGCAAATGTAAATGTCTTTTTATGCAACCTTACTTGATAGTGAGCAATTAAATGTCAAAATAACAGAATGATAATATAGCCATTGTTTGCGGGCATGATCATCTGTGTCCCAACGTAGGTTCCCCTTACATTTTGTGTTGCCAAGTGTAATCAGCCTTGCCAATAGCCATTAGAAATTTCGGATCTTAGTTATTAGAGTTCATCGCAGTACGAATGATTTCACATGCCCCTTCTACTTATAGTCACGAGCCCAAGGTGTACATGAAACACATAATGTTGATAGGACACTTCAAACGTTAAAAATGTTACGTAATAAACAAGATGAGGGGCAAACCACAACAATAACAACGAAATTCAAAAATTTGTATCAAAGCCAATTTTTTCCACCTGAATTAATTTTCTCTTTGTTTAGGAAGGTGTTCTGATTCGTTGAGTTCTTCTTCACCAACAGGAAAAACAACCAAACAAGGAGGGATCTAAAGAGGAAACTAAAGCCCAAGAACCGATTACGTCACAGTCAGTGGTAAACAAACCAGAGCAAGTCTTCCCTTTTCTTGCCAAGCTGCTCAAAGATAAGAATCCAAAGGAATTTGAGCTTCCGCTGGAGTTGCAAGATTTCACGGTGTTTCCTGGTAAGATTATCTTCACCAGTGTTTTATCGACAGCGCTAGTGTTTGATCCTTGTAGAGAAAAACGTCATTTTTTCAGAGTGGTATTATTTTGCAACAAGTTCATCAAAGTTCTGCTTTTCTCCTACCAATAGGCTCAGAGATTAATTTATTTTTCGGATGACAAGTTTATTTCTTATTGTAGGAGACAGAAAGCAAAAGACCCAGAAACAAACTGAAAACGGAAAAAGTGGCAAAAGGTGACTGTGAATAAGAATTCTTTACTATTGTCAAATTCAGTCAGGAAAAAAATTAGAATCATGAAAAGAAAAAGTCCTCCAAACTACAAAAAACGATTTTTTCAGTCAAATTAACAAGTAAATATATTCCTGCCAGCTTAAACTGTCTAAGAATTAGCAAAATTTTCATCAGAAGAAGTATTTGCCATGTAATATACCTTTATATAGGATGCCTTAGTAAGGACAAATTTTCTTTTTAGAGACGAGAATGAAGAATACTTTGAGAAGCTTTGCTTTGCATGCTCCAGGTATTTATACTTGATCGTTGTTTTGATACCATCTCGTTTGTCTATACTTCTGTAAATCTTGTATCGGGCTGCACGGCTCAGCAACAGCGATATTTACAATCAGATTTATTTCAATACTTGCAGCTCTTTTGTTACTTTATTTTCTTCAAACCATCAAACTTTGACATATCTTAAAAGTTGTTCTCATTGCACGAAGACTGCTATATTTTACTAATTTTAATAATGTTTTTGATAGATCAACATCACCCAACTCCATGGCAGCATGCGATTTTTGTCCTCTTGTATTCCACGTCGACTGCTTGCACCCTCCCATGGTGTCCCCACCAGCAAGTTTATGGATGTGCCCCAATCACCCCGAACAGTATGAGGTTGGTTTTTACAAACTGTTACATTCTTCGGGATTGGCTATTATTTTGTTAATCGTTTCTATAATAATTAATGCCCTTGTAGCCATCCTTTTAAACTCCCTCTAGGTTTGATGCAAAATTCAATATTGTTAACTGCTCTACGTTTATTCTCTCCTGCTAGCCCTTGGTAAAAGACCCAAGATACAGTGTGCGAATGGATGCATCCGATGGAATGCGTAAAAACATCAATCAAAATGCTATCGTCTTAAACTTCTTACGTCAGGCAAAGAGGTGTGATATTTATAGACTATTGCGTTCGGCAGCTGTTATTGCCAATTTTTATACGGTTTAAACTGCGCTTCTTCTCTTCAATTTTTTTATAGGAACCTTGATGTGCTATACTTAGTTTGGTGAAGATTTGAGTCATTTGCTAATCTATTGTCGGGTGAAAATCCTATTTCATTTCTTTTCTTAGAATTTACCCTCAAAACCCTATCAGATATTCAATTTACAAACATACTTCAGAGTATACTGCTAATTAAGTGATATGGTAGTGCAGCAGGAAGTCCTTAAGTTTCTCTTTGAATTATGACACTAGTGTTCTACTCCTTATATGCCAAGGCACATCATAGTTTTGTTCCATCAACTCTCCAAAAATACTTCTGATGTTTCTACGATGTAAAATCAATTGTTTTAGACGTAATTGACTGAGAAAGGTTACGTTATACATGGTAATTTTTTTAGAAAGCCAGCTAATTTCAGTTCAAAGAGGCGACAAAAATGCAGTGTTGCCGTTTCTCAAACTCCAGGTTTTTTGTGCGCTTCTCCTCTTATTCTACTAAGATGAATTAAAATCCTGAAATTTTGTCTATTGGAAATTCATGTATATCCTGGAGTGATTATGTAATTAAAAGTGGCTTTGAATAAAACGCAGAATAAAGGTCCGAAATAACACGATGGAAAGTATATATATATACTCTGAGGAGTGTCAGACGAAAAAGCTTTTAGTAGTATGTTGTGAAATGTTTGCTTTTTTCAAAGCCATTTTCAAGTTCTGTACAGGCAAAAAAATTATTATGTAATTGGTTCTAAATCTCTATCTAATCTAAATCTAAATCTTACTTTTCTTATTTTTTACTTTTCTCCTTTGTTGTTTTCATTCTCTTTTCACCTTCAACGTTGTACATTTTAACCTATTCCCCATTCTTTTTCATATTCCCCTTTATTTGCTGCTCATCTCTTCCCTCTTTGACAAATTTTTCTTTTCCTTGTTTTTTTTAATTTACTCTTATTAGATTCTTTTATATGCAATTTCCGCTCATGTTTTCATATATGCAAAACTGTTAAATCGTCATTTTAGAGAAAGAATCCTTTCGAACAGGCGACGGAAGCTTCAGCGGAGAATGATTGTACGTTCTCAAAATTTATTTTTTCTAACAATAACTTTTAATCTACATATAGAAAAATCGCATTGTTCTACAATAACTTTTATATCTACTTTTTAATTAATGTTTATGACAGTTTGCAGCAAAGAGGTGAAAGTTGAGTTTATATTCAGCTAGGCCCTTCTGAAGCCAATTTTCTTATAAATGATGCTAAGTATGCGTTTTTTTCAAATTTAGATCTATGGATACATTTGTGAAAAGCAAAATTTAATGTGAATTCGCCAGATGTTTCTGCCCTTTAAACAACTTGGCTTAAGTTGCTCACTGTTTATCATTCCGTAATTCTGTCTCTCTTGATTTGATAATCAGCAAGGGTGTCAAAAGACTTTGATGTCTTTTCTTTTCAGGTCCCCAATGCCATTAAAGAAGAATACAAAAACCCTACGGTTCTCAGGTTACCTTTTCATATCAGGAGTATGATGGAGCCATTACCACCATATGCCAAGCCTATCAAATTACCCTCAAAATCAGAGCAAGAGAAGGTAGTCAACTTGCTAGCGTTTGATGAAGACATTGTTCACTAATCATGACATCATTTTGAGTGAAAACCTGCAATCTTGCATTAGGAGTTTCATAATCAATTATGTCTATCAATATCTACTGAAGTAAACTTAGGGAGGTATCGAGTTTTAATTCAATCACCTTTATAAAGAAATGAAATATTGATCAATTTTTTTTGTATTGCAGTGGTTAAAATCTCTAGTCGCACTTCAGTGTGACATTGTATATGAAATGGCAAAAGCCTCGGTGCCTACAAGAGTCAGCTCCGTGAAAGTACCGCAAAAGGAGGGCGCAAAGGAAGAGGTGAAAGGGGAACCAAAGGGGGAGTCTAAGGGGGAGTCTAAAGGGGAGCCAAAGGGGGAGTCTAAGGGGGAGCCAAAGGGGGAGCCAAAGGGCATCAAGAGTGCTGAGATAAAGACAGTCGAAAAAACAGTTGAGGATTCAGCAGAAATGTCGTTGGAAGCAAACGAAAAAATGCTACTCGAAGACGAAAGTGAAGAAGATGTTGAAATGAAAGATGAAAGGTTTGCTGCATTTCATCTTGATCCGTATTTTCAGTTGTCAAGTCAGAGTCTGATTTGTCAGTTGTTAAGGTAACTTCATTGAAAAAATACACCTTTCCTTTGCAGCTTTAAACCGACGCTAAGCAAGATTTCCTCTGCTGAACCAATTGAAGCATCTTCAGATAAAGTATCTACAGCTATCAAAAGTGAAGATAGCGTTATTTCTAAAGAGAAAACAGAACAGCCTAAAGCAGCGGCTGTATCAGGTAGCAAAACGGTCACAAGTGGGCCATCGCAAAAGATCATTATCCTAGCAACTCAACCGGCATCAAAATCATCAGGGACTACGTCAGAGTATCCTTCGCCATCCATTCCAACATCCCAGGGTGACAGCACGACTATATCCTCGAGTGCACCAAGTGCAAAATCAGTTGTAATCAAGAGTTCGTCTCACGGGCAGACATTGCCGACTACCGGAACATCGTTTGTGAGCAGCATAACAACTGATTCATTGCAAGGTATTACTTATGTTACACAATCCGTCTTAGCATATGTCTCGTTTACGAGTGCGTATTGAATAGATTCGTTGTAAAAAAAGTACTGGAACGTAGCGATCGAAGTGTTTAAATCGATCCTAAGCAAGCATTTTCAGGATCTCACAGAGACGGATGATGATAAGAGGGCACTGTATAAAAATCTTTCACTTTTTCGATTGAATTTTCGGTTCCATTGTGGTATCTGAAACTGTATGAATATCATTTTTACCTATGTATTTGTCCTTGTTAACGTTTCCAATGCTGTCAAACGCGTTAGAAGTTTTATTTTCCCGAATCATTTTTCACGTCATTGGTACCTCTTTGCAGCTTTTGGAACGCCTCTCGTGCCTAGCTCTTGCAGCTCAGTATTTCCAATACAATGAGTGGATTCCGGACAAAATAATTGAGATGTTCAAAGGAAATTACACTTTTCAAAAAGAGGAATCAACGCCCCTCCCCATTTCAATGATGGAGCTATTATTTGAATTAGTATTAGACTTTTAAAAAATGTTCTGTTTGTCTTAACAATTTTGTTGAAGATTTCAGGTATGGACGCTGTGCCCTGAAATATAGCTTATATGTTGGTATCTTGAATTAACTGAATCAGCTTTGTGCTTCCCTGTGTTTCAGATCCACTACTATCTCAGTTGGATTCAAGATTAGTCAAGGTTCTTGCTTTTCAGAGACTGCAACAGCTACTCGGCCAGTCAAAGGTAATAGCCTTCTAGTCTTTCATCCTATTGTTCTTTAGCCCCGGATAGACCAAGTCTTCTCCTTGCAAATTTTTAGATTTATCGAAAATTGTTTTTTGGAAGAATAATTAACGAAGCTATCAGAGATGTGTATAGAAGTGCAATAACGTAGCTGCGAATCAGTGGCGTAACGCAGTTTCGAGCACCTTAGCTCGACAATTAAGGGCCCCCAACCCAATGGAGTCTCCAGATTATATTTATATCAATGTTTTTAAGACCTCGATCAAGTTCAATTCATCTTTAAAAGTTTATAATTTCTTCAACTGAAGCTTTTATTACTCAGTCCCCCTAGATAACTATTATCCTTTTCAAATCGTGCTGCTGTGTTTGACAACCCATGAATGGGGCTTTCTTGCGGTCCGTCTCAGGTTTTTCCTTAGGGCCCCAGATCTTCCGATTCTAGAAAAGCAATTATCAATTGATAAGAGAAAACACAGTGAATAATCAACACATGAGGTGGCTGTCTCAGCTGCTGATCATAATAAGTAGGATACTCCTTTAAACGATGTGAGCTTAACTGAGGGAGAGGAATCCCAACTCGGGATGACAACAGACGAAGTTTTCAAAATGATCGAATCAGATATCACGAAGCATGACACTGGAAAGTCACAAGACATGTCCTTTGCTCTTGTCTTTCTAAGATTGCAATAAGTTATCAATTTGATATGTAAACAATCTTTTGGTGGTACAAAACTTGAAAATGACTTTGAAAGAAGCAAACATTTGAGTAAACTAAAGCTTTTTGACACTCTTCAGAGTTTATAACGTCAAACATATTAATTTGATATGTTGGCATCCTATTTCTCAGGCACCTCAAGCGCCCAACAAAAAAATAACAGCAGCTGATATCCAAGAAATACTGGCAAGCAACCCGCCTCGAGGTGACAACTATGCTAATTTATCCACTACCGGCTAATTAACCCCTAGATTTTTCTTGACTAGGACTTATCCATTCTCAAGATTCTTCATGGTGTTCCTAAGTGGCAACGTCACAAAAATCTATTTCTATAATTCTTGAATTTGGATCTCATAACCTGAAAGCTCATCGTGAAATAACTCATAATGTGCAAAACCAGTTGAATTTGTTACAATTGGGAATAGGTAAGGCCACATGAGCACAAGCTCTTTCCCTATAAAACTTTCCCCATAATTTAGTCTATGTCCATTACAGTAACCCGTTAGCAAGCTGAATCCTTTTGGGCCATACCATGCCCGATTTTCGACATATGTAACTGATTTTGCACATTTAAAAGTTCTCCATGGTGTTATTTTATGTTTTGTGGTTAAAACAATTTTGAAAATAATGTTTGTGACGTCATACTTAAAAGATCTCTGTTGCTAAGATATTTTGTATTTTTTTACTCACAAGTTCATTCTCAAAAGATTGATTTTCTGCAAGTGAAGCTACCATTTTAACAAGAACTAGTTTAAAAAACAAGTGTTGCTAACAAAACTACAATTTTTATATTTGGATACCCAACCTTTTATCAGCTTATTTTATATTCCTTCCTTGGGTAATTTTTTGTGTAATAAAATTCTAATCTAAGTTTTTATATATCTATTATTGTTTGTATCTCTGTGGCTTTAGGTCGCTCTATAGCAGCCCTGTGTCCGCTTAACAACACGCAGACGATGCAGATGGTAAACAGGTCGATCGATATCGGACAGGGTTAGTCCTTACAACTTAATCTTAGTTTCATGATTTTCGTCTGGTTGATGTAATACCGTTAAAAGGGCTTTTCATCGAGTCATCCTACTCAAATCACATTTGTAAACTGCAGAATGGCTCTACATCTGGGTCTAATCTGTGCAATCAAGCCTAAAACATAAGCTAAAGAAATAGAAATGATTTGAATTGAAGTAAATAGCTGTAAATGATTTTATACATCGACTAACGTTGATATGAATTAATAATGTAACCTAATATACGTTAACATGAAAACATATACTAAACTCACAGTTTGACAATAACAGAGGGTGTTTGACAATCAGCTCACATGGAAATCCAATTTATGGTTTGCATGCTTTTTAGTCTCGCCAGTTGCTTCTGAGCTACTGCCAATCTGAGCTACTGCCTTACAAAGCTTCTCTCGTGTTGTGTCCCTCCCTAGCTGAGCTACTCCCTACCTTAACCTCTCCCTAGCCGACTTCCTTCCTGGCTGTGCATCTCCACAGTGATGCCCCCTTCAAGCTGATCTCTTTCTTAGCCTATTTGCCCCACCATAGTTTACGTCCTACTTTTCTGCGCATCTCCTTTCCTCAGCTCCTCTCTAGCTGACCCCCCTCCGTAGCAAAATATCTTAGCCTGATTTGTTCTAAGCTTTTTTGTCTTGCAGGTTCCGACAACGATGTGACCCTAGCCCAACACGGACACTGCAACTTCATATCAAGCAAGCATGCCTGCATATTTTTCGATGAGGTAAATTCAGAGGATTTTGTTTCTTACCAATCTTTAAATGCCACTCACCATTAAATGTTAAGTTGAACGCGATCTGTTACAATTACTTGTTTCCGACTAATTTTGTTTACTTACATAAATGGTCATTTTTTGTGACTAGCGGTTGCGAAGTATACAAATCTAATACTTGAAAAGAACTTTGACGAAACCTAGTTTATTAACGGAAATTTGCAGATAAAAATTTATTTCCTTTTTTTTATTGACATGATATTGAGGGAAAATTTCATCAACTTACATAGACCTATTTTTTCAAAAAATGGTCAGTGAATTTGATGGCTGGATTTGATTTTAGGAGACGAGACAGTTCGAGTTACTGAATTACAGTGAGCATGGAACGATTGTCGACAACGTGCTGTACTCATGCGACTTCTCTGACAAACCAAACAAACACATTACATCAACCAGCGCAAGAATGGACCAGAGCTCAAAAGGGCAGGAAAACAGCAAGAAACCGCCAACGCATCGTACAACCAGGGGCCACGGCGTTCAAAAAATAGTCAACCCTTGTGGCTGTAGGACCAGTGGCTCGAGTTTGATCGGTGGGAGCGGTGCAGGCTGGGAAGGGACTGCTGTGCTTCACCATGGCAGCTTCATCAAATTTGGCTGCTTGCATTTTGTGTTTAGCGTTGCAGAAGCTGCAACCAGGAAAGTGCAGCAAGACAGTCTCAAAGTGAAGTAGTCTCGAAGTGAAGTAGTCTTAAAGTGAAGTAGTCTTGAAGTGAAGTAGAATTGACTGCTTTTAACTGTGTCAATATGCCCATAGTAATTTTGTAAGTATGAAGTCGTAAAATTTAGTGTATTTGAATAACAAATTTATTTAGATGGATAATTATCATTCCTAGTTCTTCATTTCCCAAAATGTTTCTTTTTTAAGCTGATCTACAGTCCACGCATAAGATTACTGAAGTAGAAAGGCTTTACAAAGATAATGATTGGTTGTCTTAATTTCATAAAAAGCGCTTAATTTTTATTATTTCTTTTTAAACCAGCTTTAAAAACCCGCCTGTTTCCTGTTTGTTCTAAGAAATTTCATCGAAGCATGATGAAATTGATTAGCTATCAATCTGAACCAATGATACTTAATGACACAGCGTTCGTTTATGCAACATTTGAAAGTCAACAATCGTTTCACAACCAACAATCGTTTCACAACCAACAATCGTTTGATAGCCAACAACCGTTTGACAGCTAAGAATCGTCTGACAGCCAACAATCGTTTGACAGCTAAGAATCATTTGACAGCTAAGAATCGTTTGACAGCCAACAATCGTTTGACAGCTAAGAATCGTTTGACAGCTTTCAATCAAATTTAGAATGAACTACTGTGCTCCAGGCTAAAAGATCTTGCTGGCTTCTGGACAAAACATATTTGTTCAAGAAAAGCGATTCAAGAAATGCTTGCCGTTTTATCGCATACATTATTGAATGATCTTTCTTCTATGAGTCTATCTTACATATACATGAACAAAATTACAATCATAACGCGAGGTTAAAAAATGAAAACAATCCAATACAGACATTACAGTAGATATTTGCATGGTTCGTTTTTATATGTTTCTATTTTTCCAGCAAAAGGAACAGCTCTAACTGACCGACAACATATATAAACCAAGCACATGATTCCTTTTGGTTATTCGACAAACGGTTTCGCTGAAATTCATGGCCTCCATTTCATGAACAAGCAGACTTAAAAACCAATCTACAATGGGAGGATTGCATCAATGAAACATTAACCCGCAATTAGTTTTCTTTGAGGGTACAGCTAGAAAGCCTTGAGCAACTGTGCTGCTGTTAACCTGTTAAAACGAGGTCGACCTCGTTATCAGCTAAGGCTGCTCGGTGTGGCCAAAGCCAAGTCCAATTCCCGTTACACCCCCAGCACCTCGAGATAACTGAAATGCTCTCGACTTTTCGTATTCCCTTTCAAGTTCTTCCATAGCTTTTCTGCTCTTTTCAACCTTGTCACTCGATTCGATCCCTGCTGCATTTTTTATTCCCATCAGCTGCCTAAACTTTGTGTCTGTGGCTTCATCTGTAAACGTCTGCTGTCCCCAAACTGCGGACCCAGTGCCCGTTGTTGACTCCTAGAAGAATGTTTTGATTCGTTAGTTGAATTGAATGAAAAGACTTCATGCAGAGTGGTTACCCTGACTATGTCGAGATAATGCTTCACAAATATCATATAAAGAGTTCATATAAAACTTGTCTATGTCGTAGAACACATGCCGACTAGACCGTTGACGCGCTTTAAGCTGGAATTTCCAGAACAGCTATATGTCGTTGATTATCTTCTCATAATCCCGAGCAAGCCTGCACCTATACGAGGGAGCAAACGTAAGAACAAGGGGTTCGTCTTGTCAAACAAGAGCCACACATTTCACATTCTTCTGAGCAGATTGTAACCATCAATATCCTTGTTAAATTTTTTGCTACAAATCTTTTAGAGTTTCTTATTCATTTATTCTGAAAAAACTAGATAATGCTACTTAAATTTTTCCCAACAAATATTTATCGTGGTTCCCATTCATAAAGCGTACAGTTTTATGACTTTATACAGTGTGTGTTCGAATAAATTTACCTAGAAAGAACAGAACCTTTATGACGTGTAAAATACGTCCTAATTACATCTCGCGGGTTTCTAACTCAAAAAGAAGTCACCACCTACATTTTTCACAGTAGATTCCTAGCTATAGTTTTTGCAGATGCAAAAAGAATACTTAATGAGCGCTGTTCTTGACTTAGTGCTTCTAAAATAAGATATGTGACTGTGCACACTAATAGGATTTCGTACCCACTGTATGGGAAGATTTCTTAACTCAAAGGGCCTGAAAACAAACAAATATTGTCTAAATTGCTGTTTCTATTTCCATAGCCATGTTAATTTAGTCTTAAGCTCGAAGCGGACAATCCTAGTACGCCGCTGATTGAAATGACATCATAATCATGGAAACTACGTATATCATCTGCAATCAAAAATGCGTTCGCTTTACAGGAGAATGCAGTCGCTTGCAGTTGCAAACAACTCACAAGCAAGAAGAAAATTCGTATTCCAACGACATGTTTCAATTTGCCAGCCAAAAGTCATTTGGTGATAGTGAAACCTCACCATCACTTTTCAGTTCCTCACTAATTCTCCAAATCAAAACGCCGTTCTTATTTACTTATCAAACCAAAAAAAGCCTACCTCTTTCTTCTTTGAGCTCCAAAGAAGTTTTCTTTTCTCCTGCTGGGCTTTAAACTGATGTACATTTATCATGGCTGGATTCAAATAGCTTGGCAAGTTCATGTTCTTGGCGTCTTCCACAGCTTTTGTCTTCACTCTTTGCATGTGAGCGTACAGCTTTGCCTCCACTTCCTCGGTTGATAGTGGTCCCTTGGCATCTTTCCCTGAAACACAAAACTATCTCTAATAACACCCACAAGGCAGCTCATTCCTCAAAGGCTGACGGGAAACAGCCTTTATGCAAGGGAAGCCTCGTATCTTGTCTTTGGCAACATCTTCAAAATCTTTGTAAAAACGCACATCTAGCATTCAGAGTTGAAAAGAAAATCACGAGCACAAGATACTGAGACAAAACGAACACTTTTTATCACCCACAAAATAAGTTTTATCAAAAAGAAAAGCTCAAGAACTGTCTTACCTTTACCTGGCGGTGGTAATACTGCCCTGCATATACCCTTTCCACTTTCATATCTTCCTCTTGGTGGTGGACTTCGGCTATTGCTTCGCTCTGATTTCCTTCTCCTTGGACTATAACTAGATCTGCTTGCCCGATCCCTGCCATGACTCCCACTTCGGCTCCTCCTTCTGCGCCTGTCTGGTGACCTCTTGCGGTCAGGTGATCTCTTTCTATGTGGGCTTCTCCTTCGGTCAGGACTTCTCCTTCGGTCAGAATTCTTCCTTTGGTCAGGACTCCTTCTTTGATCAGGACTCCTCCTTCGGTCAGAACTCCTCCTTTGATCAGGACTCCTTCTTCGGTCAGGACTCCTCCTTTGGTCAGGACTCCTCCTTCGGTCAGGACTTCTTCTTCGGTCTGGACTTTTTCTACGGTCTGGACTTCTTCTTCGGTCTGAGCTTCTTCTTCCTTCAGGACTCCTCTTCTTGTCCGGGCTCTTTCTTCTGTCTGGGCTTCTTCTATGCTCTGGGCTTCTCCTATGATTTGGGCTTCTTTTGTGGTCTGGACTCCTTCGTCTTTCCGGACTTCTCCTCCTTCCAGGGCTTCCTCTTTTTTCAGGGCTGTTAAGTTTACCTTCGCTTCTTTTCCTTTTATACTCACCTTTGCTTGGATGTATATCCTCATAACTTTTACTTCTAGAGCGGGATCGTCCCCTGTATTTCCTTTCTCGGTCCTTTGAAACTCTTTGGTCCTCCTCCCCTGATGAACTGGTCCTCTTTCTTACATCAGAGTCGCCATCTGTCAAAATTCATGTCATACTTTGCCATACACATGAAGAGCAATTAGTAATCAACCGTAATTTTTCGATAAAAACTGACAACAGCACACAGAGATTCAGTTACGGTTAAAAAATATAAAGTTTCATATGCACCAATAAAAAGAATAATGCAACGTGGAAAAAATAGATATTTTCGAGCGAAATCCAACTTTTTGTCTCATGTTCTTGAAAGCTTATAGCGGATATGAACAAACAAAGACTTATAGATAGCTTACCTATCTCCTTTCGTGAAGATGAATGTTCATCCTGCGAAAAAAACGAAGCATTAAAGGGCTGTCTCAATCTTACAAGTTGTTAAACTTGCCACAAAATGAGTTTCTGCTTTCAAATCACAAGAACATAACAGCTAGCAAAGAACTGTTTTGATTTAATGATGTATATAATCTTCATTGAATTTCTTAGTATACAATTTATGATCAGTTTCAATGCAAGCAAACACATGCCACTGCTAGTTAATAACATTTATCAATGGAGATATACAGTTACAAGTGGATCTGCATATCAAAACTGGTCAGAAGGAAAGGCAAAGGAACTTTAATGTTTCATGAACAATTCAAGGAGTACTGCCCAGAAAATGTTTCATTCTTTAAAGTTAATTAAACTGAGCTGTGATAAAGGCTCTTTATTTGGTGGATTGATGCTAGCTCAGTATTTTATACCTATATCAACCTTGATGGGTGTTTTTGGTATATGTAAGTTAGTCTCTTTAATTCTGTCACCGGTAAGATACATTATTGATCAGTTAGTTATTGGTCAATTTTGGTATAAACAATTAGTTCCAAAATCACTAATAATGTATTTTTGCAAAAACGATTGAAAAGAGAATTCCTTTAAGCACTACCATCCCTATAGCCTAAGTCGTAGACCCCCCCCCCTCCCCCCCTTCCAAACGAATATAGGGTCTACGAATTAATGAGGCAAAGCTTGCTACAGGCCGTTATTAATTCATGCACAAATATTTTTAATAATTGATTATTCCCAGACCCCATTGAGCTCTCTTTGTCAAGCTCAATGAGGTGTTAATTGAACCATAGTCAATTGAAAGGCCTCCTTTCTATTGACTATGAATGAGTGCTCTCACATGAATTTAGAAGTTCCAGAATTTGAGAGAACGGCCTTTGCAAGCTTTGCCTCATTAATTCGTGGGTCTACGGTGTAGGTCTAAATGCAGTGAGACTGAAAATTTTGGAAAAATGCTAATTTGTTAGTAAATTCAGATATTGTTTTTGAACACTGAACCAACAAAATGGCATCAAGGGTACAAAACCAATCACATTGCCTAATTGTACCAGCATTCCTTCTATGTAAAAAAGTTCCTGGTTGTTGTAAGGCATCAAAGTATAAGGTGGAAAGCTTGATCAGTCATAACAATACATTTAATAAACTGTCTCCCAAATCATACCAAAATATCTAAGATCTCTTTGAAGAAATGAATTTAATTTCAAACTTCCTGAACTAGTTATAACAAAACCAAATACCTTTTTCATTGCATTAAATTTATGGTTTTACATCACAAGGTGCAATGAAAATTTAAGTGTAAATCTTCAGTAAACAACAGCTTTAGGAAACACTTGGCTAATTCAATCTTCATCACTATCCAGGCTTGATTTATGAAAAGTTGCACAGCCTGTTTTTCCAAAGCTTTTCATCAACTCAGTAACTTAATACCATTAGGTAAAAACTGGTACAACATGTATCCATACCAGTCTTGATAATAAATTAGGTTAGGCAATTCCATAATACACACCTTATTATTTCTGTTACTTACCTACAGGCTGCATCAACATGATGTCAACTTCATGGATGACTCTTGGTATGACTGACATAATTATACCACAAAACAAAGTTAATACCATCAAACTTAAGCTGTATAGTCTTAATGACAGGTAGTCCTTAACATGTTGTAGTTTTAATGATAGTCACTTTGAGGTAAAACAATTTACACAGCTCACACACACGCACTGATTGGCAAGCTAAAACTGCCAAAAAACATATTTGCAGCTTAAAAAAGCATCTGCCAGATTCCATTTTCTAATGGCCAACTATTGCATGATAATATAAGTAAATTGAATTTTAAGGTTAACAAAACTTCAAATCTTATATAAAATAACATCTACCTTACAAAAAGGTGTCTTGCAAGAAGTAGAAGAAGAAGAAGAAGAAAAGAAGAAGAAGAAGAAGAAGAAGAAGAGGAAGAAGAAGGAGAAGAGGAAGAAGAATTTAGAAAAATTTCAAACAGGCCCGAGATATAAATTTTTACCCAACAAACAATAAAGAAATTTCAAAACTACAATGAATATAGCAAACTGGAAAATGCATTAAAGCAATTAACAAGAAACAAAAAACTCACTTCTTTCACATATTTTCTTCTTTTTGAATCTACAACTGACTGGCTTTGGTCTATAAAAAAACCAAGAATGCTAACTGTTATTAACATATTTGACAGCAAGAACAGAGAAATATAAGTGAAAAGTAAATTCATAATGAATAACAATGTACAGCTCTGCCTTTACAGTTTCAGCACAGTATAAATAACAGTATATATTACAATAGACAGAATGAATTGAAAAGATCAGGCCTTTCATTTCATGGAGGATTAGTGCCCTTATCCTAGCCAATACCCTCACCGGATAATTGGAGCAAGCTGTTGGCTGTCCTGGCAAAAACACATTTCTTTCCACACAAGAGACAGGAAAGCTGAATTCACACTTGATGTGTCACAGAGTCGCACATCAGGACGCAGACCAAATTTGGATAGCTTTCCCTGTATTTAAACACACGCAGAGTTTTTTCAGCCACGTAAATTTATCATTGACGCTTAAGAACAATAGAAAACTCAGGGAATAATAAAAACCAGAAATGTAAACAAGGAGCTTCTGAAATAGGTAATTATAAAACAGTTTTGCTTGTACGATTAGTGAGTCTCTCTGATTAAAGTATCAGGAAGCTAAATTCAGAAAACCAATCACGTTTATTGGTTCATGACAAGTAACATTTTCAGAAGGTTAGTTCCTATAAGTCACAGATTCCTAAATGAGAGATAAATTGGCTAATTTTAGGAAAACAAAGCATTATTGTTTCATTATTCGTGTGAATCAAACAGTTTGTTTACAATTTTGCATAATAACATATTTAAAAAGACAGAAGTTAGGCAATTCTTAAACAGATGGAGGATTTTCTTTCACAAACATCATTAGGTGGGTAAAGGCATTTATAAGCTCATTTTGGCTGGCATTTCATATCCCTTGTGAAAATTTCTAAACATAAAGGCCCAAATTAATTATGTAAGTGACTTCAGTAATGGACCACTATCTTGAAAGGTTGCTAAGGCTGTTAATGCTGTAAGCTAACATATCAAATTCTTCCAATGGTGTGAAAAGAAAATAGAAATTACAGAAATTAGTAGAGCAGAATACTTAGGCTGTTGCAAAATTGGTAAACTCAGTATGAGAACTTGAACAACAGGGAAGGTAACTGAAAGAGAACAAGCCTGATTTAAAGAAAATCTAGCAGTTATCCGCATTGCAACAAGCAAACTCTTTTAAAAGATCATCTCCTTTACAAAACTACGGATATAATGAGGGACTTACCAAATTCTCTATAATTTTGGTGGCTATCATTGTCATCTTCATCCTTTATTCCTTTTCTGGATTTTGCCTAAAAATCAAGCATAATCAAATATATATATATCAAATTTACTTCAAATAGAGAAACAAATATTTAGATGAGAATAATCGGCTAGAACCATGTGCTTAAGTAGAACAGGTTTCGATCCACAACTGGGTATATATATTTTCTAGCGTAGAGTTTTGATCTATGTTCTGAGGTTTTAAACTCAGACGAAAAGCTTTAGGTTACTAAATGTTTGCTTTTTTCAAAGCCATTTTCAAGTTTTGTACCACCAAAAGATTGTTAGAACAGGTCTGGCCACATTTTCTGGAACACATTCAGAGCCAGCTTTCTCTTAATTCAATCTTAATATTTTGGTATTTCAAAGCAGATAACTATATTTAATTGCTTCTTGTGAATTGTCATTTTCCTACTATTTTTGTTAAATTCTTTTTTGCTAGATTTATAGATTTCATTTGATGGCTTTACCCAGTGTCTCTTTCTTCCAGGTCCACTGAGGTCTTTCTTAGGGCTGAGGGCAAAAAGCAAAATGGAGCCCATGAGGACATCAATAAAAACTATTATTTTTATCAACATACCTCTATTTTGGCAAAATCTACTTGTTTTCCCTGAGAAAAAACTCCAGGTCTTGAAAGTTTTGGGTATACAAGTCTGACATCATTGAAAGAAGCTATTGCAACTATGTTCTCCAAGTTGATGTCTTAGGGGCATCATTACCAGCTCAGACATTTTCCATTGTGCTAAGGTTGGGGCTTTGAATAGGAAAAAGGAGGACACCAATCTTATGGATAGGCAGGAACATTTTGGAATAAGTTGCCTTTAAGCAAAATTTCTTGTCATGCTAGAAAATGATTTTCTCTCTTTCCTTTCTATGTAATCATTCCACCAGATAAGCATTGCATTATGACATATTGCATTATTCCCAGGGTGCATTATTCCCATGTACTTGGGCCCGAAGATCTTCGGCGCACACCTAGGTTTTTTTGGCATTTGGCGTGCAAACCAATAAAAAAATTGTTGGTGTACTTAAAATTTTCGTTTGTTGGCATGCTAAACATGAAGCCATGTACAGAGTTAACGTAAAATAAAGACTCATACACCACAGTTGTCTTTAATAATCAGTTTTCTTTGTCTGGCGCAACAATGTTTATTGTTTTACTAACTACCTCTATATTTTCTGCGTACCTAAACAAATGCCCTGGTGGACCTGCAGCGTACAGTTGACATGGAATGCACCCTGGCATTATTCAGGTTGTCTTGCAAAATTTCTGTACCAACCTGTTCCAAAAAGCAAGTTTACCAGCCACTTAGTCTCAACTGAAGCCCAAACCCCAAAACATAACAGGCATTGGATTTGGGAATTTCAGGGCTAAAAACTTTGGATTATCGTTTTTTCCCATTGTTCTCCAAACTTCCATCATATTGGCATCATTTTTAGAAACAATGCTCCAAATCTTTCTTGTTGAAAGACCTTCAAATTTTTTAGATTTTAATGACAGAAATCTGGGGGATTGTTGGATCTTCCATTTCTGTTTTAGTACTTCCCTGTTCGAAAATCGTAAAAGAAGCCTTCAGCCCACCATCATACCTTCCGTTTCAGTTAAAAACAGGACTGAAAATTTATTAAATGTTCAACTGAACATACAGGATCTTTAATTTGAAACAAAACAACTGCTCAAGCTCCACCTTTATCAAAATTGCAAAAACCAGCCATAGGAACCATTCACTTGATATACTACTTGATTTTTTCACTATAGGCAACAGTTGATGCAAAAAAAATTGAATATAGACAATTACCGTGGTGAGAAGGGGCGGCTTTACTCCACTCGACTCGCTGTCCGATTCTGAAGAATAGGCCCCTTGGAGTGTGTCCATGTCCAATAGCTAGAACGGGCTAAATGCTACTCTAACGCACCTAGAGTCCTCTTCTTTTTCTAGTTGTAAACAGCAACACTCAATTGAAAAGGGCTTCGATTTATAACACCAAACTACAGTAGTTTTACGAAGGTATATTTTTGTAGCTCTAAACCACACAGATCTTCTAAAACATTATACGTCAAGCGCAAGGTATGGTGGGATGGGAAATGTGGCAAGGAGGCACAGAGGACGGCCAAGGGATCTGGAAACCAACTTTATCCCATTGAATCACTGATCTAGATCAGTTCATTGAATAGGAAGTTGTTTAGTTTCCACATACTGCTCGACCTGATGACGTAATTAGTTTGCCCTAACCCTAACCCTGACCATAAACCTAACCCTAACACTAACCCTAACTCTTTACTTGAAATAATTAATCGTGCTAATTTATGACTATTTATCATGCTTATTTATGACTATCAGGTCGAGCAATATGGAAACTAGACGAGGGTCTGTGTAACCGAGAGCAAAATCGCGTACGAGAATTGATTTGAATCGTTTGCATAATTATCACAGGTCTGTGTAATCATGCAAGAAGAATTGATTTGGCAAGCAATCGACTTGCTTTGAGTAGACATTTGGCTTTGCATGGTTGAAGATAGCTATTTACTAATTTGGCTTGAATGTAAAGTAAAGAATTATTTTTGGGGACAAGGTCTGGTGGATTCGATAACGAAAAGCATGACTTTCGGAGTAGCGATAAGAAGTGGAAACCGAAAATTAAAAAAGACGCTTTGCCTTCAAGCCGTAGAAAATGATTCTGATATTTTTGAATTGGGGGGTTATTCAGGGTTGGCTTAAACGATGGAAGCTTGTAAAATTATAGTAGACATCAAGAAAACATTGTTAAGAGACCTAGTATGATTTAGTAGGAATTTATTTATGAACATTTAATTAATTAGTGCCAAAAGTGTAAATTTTTGTAGTAATTCAATAAAGCGCCTTTCGGGAAGCACCTTTCTTGCCCCTAAACAAAAGATATAAGGGGAGTTTATATCTTGATACTGTTAAAGCTATATCGATAAAAATATTCTTGTTTCCACTTCGTTTAACTCAGTTTCTCCCTCTTTCTCAAAATTTCGCTCATCTTCCAACCACTTACTTTTGTGCTTGGCTCTGTCCAAAAAAAAATCTGCCCTGTTTGCTTCCAGAACTTCTTTTTTCAGTTCGTCCTTTCACCAATATTCAAAGAGGTTAGCTAAAGGACCAGTCATTACTAGTGATGGGGACTGGGGCTGAAGATATCTATGGAAGAATGCAGTTATTTTCTCTCCCCCCCTAAAATCAATACAGCTATAATGTTGCCCCCTAAATCTAAGCATAATTTCTCATACACGCACACAATATCGAAAAACAGCACATTTTCTGTCAAAATATAAAGTTTACTGTGATTAAGAAATGATGCCATGATACCCTCATTCAGTATGTCATAGCACAGAGAGAATTGAGATGGGAACTACAGCAGAAAACCGTTCAGATTGATGCACGAGGCTCAGTTTTCAGAGCCATAATATGAGAACTGGCAGAATGAAAAAAGTATGCAGGGGATCATGGGCAGCTTTCAGTGAAAGACCAGTTACCAGCTGAAACTTCTCTGGAGTTCCTTGAAAATGTATTGAGCAAAAATCGAGATCTTCATGGCAGAAATCCCAACATTTAAAGCAAAACCTTTGGGAAAGACATTGATATTAAGCCATGGAGAAAATGAAATATCTTTCTATTATGATTTGATAAAGCAGTCTGCATTTTTCCGAGGGAAGTTTGTTAAGGGTGATGTTCTCTTGAACCTAACCATGCTGAAAATAGAGCCGGAGCTAATGTGCTCAGCAGCAAATTTGTCAATGCCAAATTGAAATGCTGTGCAAAGTAGAACAAAAGAAAGTGCAAGAATAGAAAAGTTGAACGTGACTTGTGAAGGTGCTTGTCAATAATTGGTGCCATGCCCCCAGGAGTGAAAAGTGAAGAAGTCAAGATGAAAAATGAGAAGGGATATTTTTCATTCAATATTGCAAAGTATTGCAACATCGGAAGGTCAATTGCCAAAGATGATGTGCGTGACAGTGGCAAGAAAGAAAAGCTCTTCAAAGATAAGAAAGGGGGAAAGCAGCTGACAATCCTTGCTGCTTTTAGGGCAAAAGAGCTCGGCAATCAGATTCAAGCTCTGATACAGGTGAAAATGAAGTGGCTTCAAAAGTGAATAACCACAACTGTTATGACAATAAAAAAAACTGGCATGAAAAGTAGATATTATCAGACAAAATGGTCTAGCTATTTGATTCCTATGGTGATGCCAAAACCTAAGAAGCAGCCTTCAAATTTTACAGGGAGACTACCCCTGGAGCCCGAGACCCTACTTGTTTATCAAAAAATACCTTTATTAGAGTCATTCCTAATTCAATTAACTGTATTTCGCCCATGCACAAGCGTATTTATTAGTCAAAGTGTAAAATTAAGTGTAAAAGAAATTAAGTGAAATCTATTAAACGCTAAGCATGTAACGCGAATGATGGCTACTCCTATTTCTCAATCGACATCTCCTCAAAGGCCAGATAATATGATAGTCCTTTTCTTCACCCAAAATTTTTGCTCCCCCTTCCCCTAAAATGTTTTGTCGAAGCCATTGTTTCCTTGTGAAATGTACAAGGTATATCCACTGATCTAAAAAAGGACTGGATCGACCTTCTCCAGCCTAGCGTTGATTCCACATTGCAGCGTCCATCTTGAGACCTCACCGTGTTGTATGAGACTAGACAGCAATCATGTTGGTTTCAAATCAACTTGCTTTCTCATGGCAAAATTCAAAGTAACCTTTGAAACAAAAACTTGCATCATTTGTAAGTGGCGTTAAGCATTATTGCCGTGGTATTAAGCTTATGTAAGGGAGAATCCACTGTTCACTTATTATCCTAGGCCTATTGTATCTTAGAATGTTTAAGAATTTAATTATTAATGCACAATGTAAGGTGCAGCACTGTGTGTGCGCCCTTTTAACAAATGGCAGCCTAAAGCTTTCGGCGCGAGAGGTCTCAAGATGGAGAGAATCGATCAGCTTCCTCATGCTGATGTAGGAGAACAATAGGTTGTTTGATCCAGTTTTTTTTAGATCAGTGGGTAAATCCCACCCTTCTATGTAAGGAGTTTGGAAGTATGAGGAAGCCCACAAAATCGTCAGCCAACGATGATATCTTGCACATAAAGCTATTGTTAATTGAGTGTGCGTTGATAATTTGGAAAGATTTTCAAATGATGATTTCAATGATTTGCCCTTCACCACAGCTATATCTTGCTTGTACTTATAATTATTTATTACACTAATGAATTTGTCGTTAATTGATTGCCTGTACAAGCAAGCCCTATTTTGTTTTTGTCACAAAACGTAAAAGTAAATCAAATATCGAATAACTGAGACATCAAAAAAGGTTATTGAATCTTCAGTTTGGTTTTGAGAGCTTCCCAATCAGTAACATTCCAACCCTGGGGAAAAATATAAATTTGTTGCAGATTGGTTTTTTATTGAGCTGATATCAAGAAACATCGACTGCATGTATCTGAAATGGCAATATTTTTAATTGTTTAACATATTCTTGCCTGGAAAACATGAATGCTACAACAAATACTATATAAATTTCTAACACATGTTACTGTTTACATTGCAATGTCATTCATATTATTATCCAGTTACTTTTTAAAACATACCTCTACCAACATATTTACAACCCAACGATGGCAATAAAGCAATCTTTCAGGAAAATGGTCAGAATAATATAAAGAAACACGCTTCATGGACTATATTAACATTTCTCGCACAATTTTTTACATTTTCATTGAAGTATTGGTGTGAGGTTTTTTAGTAATGCAAACACAGATTACCAAGGACATAAAAGACTGTGAGAGACTAGTGACGAAACCTTGAGTAATTGAAGGTTTTGAGTTTGAAGATAATATCGAGTCAAGAATCTAGCTTTTATGTGGGCGGCATTAGCAGTCGTTACGTCATCATCAGTAAAACCTTGTGATGAAACCTCGTTTCATGTCGATTGAGAGTAGGTAAACAATTTTAAAGAACCATTTCTCTGAAACATAATGACGTTTAAACTTTTGTTATCTAATCTTAATCTAAATTAATCGTATGAAATTGATATTTCATTTTGCCGACAGGTTAAGACCATGCAAAGCCGCAATGTAGATGCAGCGGTTTCAACAAGTAACAAGAGGTTTCTGAATGAATAAGGGACTGATTTGATTGTGTGTAGCATATTCGGGCTTATACAGTCATTACTTTGCAGAAAGCGTAACATCTCAAGCCAAAACATTAAATGAAATTATTGCAAAGACCTGCTATGAGAGAGTTTGACTTGAGCGGATGAAACAGAGTTCTTTTTCTTCACTGACCATCTGCTATCTATGACGCAATGAAGTAAATATAACAAAATGAGATTTCCAAACAGGTCTAGCTTCTTTCCTTTAAAAAAATTTTAACTGGCTTCTTTCCTGTAACTGAAGAAATTTAGTTTCATCTAACAATATCTTACTAGTATGAATCGACCCGAATAGGCAAATAAATTGTATCGCAAACGTGTTCAACCAAAATATTTCACGAATATCACGAATTACGCGAGTTTCACTGTCACAGTTATGTTTTCATTTCACAATACATGCTATGTATAACTCTATCGCTCTGATTTCAATTTTTGATAATAAGCTTTTCTAAAATTTCGAGTCTAAAACATTTTTGATCTTGCTGTCAAAAATTCAAATTTTCTTTACCCTGCTCTTGGGATCTATTCTAATTATATACAGGTTTGGTTGGAAAACTGAGCGTAAAATTGCTGCAGAATGTCTGTTCAGCTTTCTAACGACATAAATAATTGAGCAGTAACTCATTGCAAGACGGATCATTTATTGTGGATACAGATAAGAAAGAGTGAATGTTTCCCCAAATTTTCAGTAAGATGGCCTAACTGTCACTGCTTTATTCAAACGAAATTCACAGATGCGGATGACAACCTGAATGAATTGAAAACTTTGTCACTGTCCTTAAAACAGGTCTGTCAGATGTATAGATGCCAGAAGTCTAGTCAAAGTTCAGCAAAATTTGCAATCCACAATAAAAAAATTCAACCATTTGTCAAAGTTTGACGCCAACAAGACCAGAAGTCAACTTCAA